GCTGTCCTATTCCTTTCTGTATCATTTCTTATGTCATTTCATCATCCCCAGCAGAAGCTCTTCAACCTTCCAGCCTCTCGCAAAGTATAGTTTAGAGGCCACCTACAAAAGAACCATTTAGGCTAGTTGTTAAAATCCAAATTCCTGGGCTCACCCAAACTTGGTGAATTAGAAAATCCAATTCCAGGGCCTTAGAATCTGCACATTTACAAATATCCAAGAAAATCCTAGAGTATTGATGAGCACCCTGTCTAGTGCTAAAGCTGTCTGCCTTGAGTTTGAGCTCCTCTACATCTCTGTCCCCCTCCCACCCTCTGTCTCACACACCCACATGCATGCACACAAGTAGTCTTTATAAGCTCTTCCATTTGTCCCTACTACCAGTGTATGAGATTCTATAGACATAAATTTATTGTTTATACACTTCTAAACATTTGCAAAGATTTAGAGATATATTTCACCTGGTAGGAATTAATAGAAAAACTGGAAAAACATAGCAAATGACCATCTTTGGTAAGTATTTCTTTGAAAAACATTTTATCCTGGATTTCTTCCTGGATAGTACTCACTGAAATGTTTCTAATGGGGAAAAAAAAGCATAAATTTAGAGGTAGATTGAAAATTTAACAGCACACTGGACCGATGTCATATCTTTCTAGTGAATGAAATGACAGTTTCTAGCAATGCAAATCTGTATTTGCACATGATGAAAATTATGACATTAGGAAAAAATAAACTCACCACTTCTTCATGTCTGCACTTTCTCACATTAATTCCATTTATCTGCAATGAAAAGAGAAGCAGAGTTTCACATGCTATATTGTAAATTGACTTTCTATTTTGGTTGCACGTAGATACTGATGATAAAATATATACCTGTAGAATTGCATCCCCAATAAAAAGCAGTCCTGAAAGCTCAGCTGTAAATGAAAAACAATTGATTATACATTGACTATTTTTGTCACACAGACAAAAGAGTTTGTTAGTGAAATAAAGGTGAAACTGATAAATGAAACAAAAATTTAAATGTTTTACATAGTTAGCATCTTAAACAATCCACTAGGAATGAAAATTCAAAACAATAGTATGATTTGGTACACTTTTTTGAAAAACATGCAGAGATGTTTCTATTTAGTTGTACCATTTCAGACCTTACAACTGCAAAAAATTGGTGGATATTTCTGGGTGGATGAATACACTTTTCTCATGCACTTATAATTCCGAGGTCTCTGTGATAATATTTAGGTCATAGACAGTCAATCCATTAGCTCTGCAATTGACTCCAACTTTATTTTTAAACATTACATTTACTGATTTCAGTCAATGCAACAATTGCTCTATATCTTCATTGCTTTTCTTAGATGAGGTTTCATATGAAGGGGTGAGTAAAACTGCATATGAAAAATGGAAAAAATCTGAAATTGCCTTTACCAGGTGTGACTTATCATTAGTTTTATTTGTTTAATGAAACCGTTGAAAAGCTATGCAGACCGTACTTCATACAGGGTCTCATGGTTTATTATCTTTCATTCTTGCTCCCCTTCTGTGAGAGATGCCCTTCTGTGAAGTGATGAAGAGCATGGATTCAGTAATCAAACTCAGCCACTTACTGCCTGATCATGAGGAATCTGGAGCTAGACACATACTAATTTATGATTCACTCTTCAAAAACAATGGCACAAAGGAATGGCTACTATATCATTCTCTAAACTTGTTACCTCTTTGCTCCTTGGAGATTTTTGAAATGACAACTGGAATATTATGCTCTGCTCCTCCCTGGAAAGAGAAAATCATATATTGTATTATTTAACCTCGTAAAGATTAATGCAGCATATAGCTAAGAAATTGTTATACAGGCTATGAATATTATGTTGAGTGGACAGCAGGCAAATTTTGTTAATTTGTGAAATTTCTCCTCTCAGTAGATGGTGCCCCCATGAAACTAATCCACCTGTTTAGCATTTAGCTGAGACGTCCAATAATTAATAAAAATTAACATTGAAAGTTTTCATTTCTCAAGAAAAGATCAATTATGTCTTTAAATAGGCATTATATTCAATGTGTAGTAATGCTGTCCACTGTAGGGATTCTTATTTAGGATTCCAAAACCAGATTATTATGTATTTCTATTATCTGGCTGAATTATTCTGTGCTGGTGACTTAGCTTCCAAAGAGGTCCCTGCACCACAAAGACCTCTCTGGAAGCTAAGTGACCAGAAAGACCTTTACCTGCACAAATGGATAAACAAAATTAGAATGTGCATGCATAATGGAGAAGGGGCTCATTTGCATTTCCTTACTTAGTGTTAGATTCCTCTTTGTGTGAGAGTACATACCAAGCAATTTACAGAATGAAATACACTGCCTGGAATATTGCCATAGTGCTTTGTTATTTGACCAAATGAAACATGAAAAAGGTAAGACAAATAAGTGCACTAAATTTACATGAAGGAAAATAAAATAAATTTTTAAAATAACTGCATAAAAATCCTATTTCTTTATTACAGAGTTGAGAAGTTTGAAAGCCATAGATGAAAAATCAAATAGGTATATTAAAAAATAAAGGGTCATGTAGAAAAGAAGCATAGTACTTGTAACACAGCATAGTTGAAAAGGCAATCAAATTTCCATTGGGGGTGCTCAATCTTCAGAATATGTAAAACTCCTAAGCTTCTATTATTTTTTTATAAGGACAAAAATTTATTTTAGAACAGAAACGTTTTTACCCATAAATGTCAATTTTTAACATGTTAACAGTGTAATTAAATATAAGATAGTTAATTGTTTTTGGGAAAAACATTGTTATTCAACTCTTTATTGGCAAGTAGAGTCCTTTCTACTTCTGGAATATTAAGGTGAAACGTGATAAATAAGATAATGAAAACTTAGGTTGAAATTCAAACACACTACTCATCTCCCTTTTCCTCACTATTTCCACTAACCCACCATCCATCCCCCACCCCTCACTAACTCTGTGAAGAAAGTCACTGGCGTGGTCTAAAGTGGCTCCTTATTTTAGATCTGCCTTTCAGGCTGCACGTCCCTAACACTCACTGATCTGCCTTTCACGCTGCACGTCCCTAACACTCACTGATCCCGTCTAAGATGGTCTCTTCTCTCACCAAAGGGATGGTGATTTGTGACCGAGAGTGGGATAAAAACTAACACATGGTAAACACTGAATAAAGGGAGCTATTATCCCACTGAAGTCTATCAATTAAGATTTATAAGTAAAATCACACAGCATTAAAGTGGTAAGTGAGATGAAGGACTAATTGATTCTAAAACCCTTAATGATTATTTGTTAGGACTCCAAGTTTCTAATCCCCTCTACTCTGTTTTATTCTTTTCCCATTGTACCTATCAGCTTCTAACCTACTATAATATTTTGTCTTTTCTTATACTTATTATTTTTTTCTCCTTCTCCCCTTTCTTACTAGAATGTAAGTTCTATGAGGGTATTGAAGTTTTCTGGTTGTTTATTTTGTGCATTGATGCAACTTCGTTGCATGAAATAATCTCTTTTTTATCTTTGAAATGTTTGTTGATTGAATGAATAAATGAATGAATGAAGTCTGAGGCTTTTTAGGCCTAGCCTATGGCTGCTAATAGTTTCTAGAGACACTTGGAAATTGGAAAGGATATTAAAAATGCATTTACATTTTTTAGGAAAAAACCCTGTTTAACTCAAGTGAATCATCAACTGGTGAAGTTTTAGGTAGCATAAAAAGATGAAATAAATTATCTAGATATTGTGGTTGAAATGCTTTGGGGTACAACATTCATGCCAGTCTGGTCTGTATGGCTATCATCAGAGTATTTCCCTTCAGCTGTTTTTGATCTCACACTTTTGTCTTGTTTCACTACTGAATCAAAAATTTTTTTTTTCTCTTCCCCTCGTTCTTTTTTTTTTTTTTTTTTGTCAATATACAATGTAGTTTTTCTTAATGCTCAGATTTTTTAATGCGAGTTATCATGGCAGAACAGTGGGAAACGTATTGTTGAGTCTGTCTAGAGAAAAAGCTGATAGTAATTCCTCTTTTTTCTTTTCTTTCTTTTCTTTTTTTTTGGCTGCTGGCTGGTATGGAGATCTGAACCACTGACCTCGGTATTATCAGCACCAGGCAAGTGAGCTAACCAGCCAGCCCTAGAGATGGCAATTTTCTTAAGGTCAACTCAATAATACCATTCTTTCCTCAGCAATCAGACTTATAACTATCTTTTAATGACAAAATGTAACTTACATTCATTTTGACAAAATTTTTCTTTTATATGGAAAATTTCTCCTGAAATTTCAATGGCTTGAGTTTTTTTATTTTTTATTTTATATTTTTTTTTAATATTTTTACTTGGAACTCTGATAAATTTTTTAAACTAATTTCTATAACAAATGACTTTATTAATTAGATAGTAAATTTTAAGAGAAAGATCAGAGGATAAAATTAGAACTTAAAATTATAGTATCTTCCTTTATTGAATGAAATGTGAGAGCAGCTCAGTTCTATTAAAGTTAATTAGATTTGTTTCAGGACCTAAATGGGAAAATTTAAGGTTTTGCAGCCAAGAATCAAATAATGTGGCTTGCTCTGTTTAAAACAGATAATAGTCTTCCCATTACACTTTGAATAAAAATCCAATTCCTTAACTGTTGTTTGTTGTGTGGCCTCAGTCTCCCTGCACAGCTTCACCTCAGAGCCACATTCATCATTCTGTGTGCTAAAGGATGTCAACATTTACTACTTTCTCTGCCTGGAATGATTGTTTCTTCATTCTTAACCCAGTAAACTCCTATTCACTCTGTACCTGAGATTTCTGCTAAAAGGCCCTCCTTCAGTATCTCTTTACTTGAATTAATTCACTTTTGAGCCAGTGTAACAATCTGATCAAAGTCTACTTTTGCAACAGTGTAAATGGCCTGATGTCAGGCTGGGGCTCCTTCAGCATCTTCTCCCTAAGGAGTCCCTGCACCAGGGATGTGGCTCAGGATCACTGTCTGGAGAATGACTGAATTAACCGAGCAATATTATTCCAGCAAATGGTAAGACCCAAGATTAGGAAAAAGGAACTCAATGTTCTAAAGTGCAGCCCAGATAATATTAAAACATGCATCATTCAATCTCGTAACATTCTTTTTACAAAGCATAATTGATTTTATAGCTAGCTATGTAAGAACAAGGATACAAAGTCTCATCCAAAGCATTTTGAGAATGACTCTACACAATCATCTTGCCAGCATAACTGTGAAATGCCACCAAATCAAACCTAGAATGCTTTTAGAGCACTGGGAATCTTGCCAAAGAAATCTTTTCACTTTAAAATTTTCATTATCCCAATCAATCAATCATATTCTAGGCTCTAGGGGAAAAAAGATACATAGACCCCAACTATTATTCTTGCTCTTAGAGTAAGGAAAATACTTGTAAGCAAATAAGAACAACACAGTTTTGTTTTGGCAAAAATTGAGGGTCTTTCTCACATACCATATGATTGCCTTCGTATAAAAATAAAAGATACGGAAATCTACAGAGACAAATCGATTAGTGATTGCTTAAGGCTGTGGGGGGGAATCAGGGGATAAAGGATACAGGGTTTCCTCTTGAGGTGATGAAATATCCTAAAATTGACTGTATTGCACATATCTGTGGATATACTAAACACAATTGAATTGCACAGTCTAAATGGGTAAAATGTATGGTATGTAAATTATATCTCAATGAAGCTGTTTAATAAGAAAGGTTCTTTCAAATGATGGTCAATGATTTTAACTGATTCTTGGAACGAATTCATAATCTTCAACTGAGCCTTATCATTTCCCTGTTATCTTCCTATGTTTATGTTGGAAAGGTACACATCCACTTTGTCTATGGTGGAAACAAGTAAATCAGACTCAAGTAAAAGGAATAAGGGGAGGGTTTAGTGAGAAATGTATGAGAACATGTGTGTATACTTATATCAGCAGTTGTTATTTAAAGACTTTTCCCTCAAAATCACTAATAAGTTAAAAGATGGTAATTTATTATAGCTACTATGAAAATATATTTTTATTTGGTAAATCTGATACAATTAAATACAGTTATCACCTCTTGATATTATGAAATTGCTTGCTTGATCCTGGCATTTTGATTATTTTACTTCAGAATGTGAAAATAGAGAAGAAACATGATTTGTGTCACCAAGTGGAGAGTTTAGATATAATTTAGTCCAGGTTTTAAGATATAGAGCATAGTTATTAAGGGCAAGGACTTTGTCTAAGCTTTGGGTGGGATTGAGGCCCAGCTCTGCAATTTATAACAATGGATAAGTTACTTATCCCTCAATACTTAATCTAATTGTCTGTGGAAGGAATCACAATAGTTATCTAATTTGCTGGTTGTAGTGGATTGAATTATGTCCCCCCAAAACTCCCTGAATCTTAAATTGTGCCCCCCAAATTTTATGTTTTAGAAACTTAACCCTGACTGTAACTGTTAAGAGGGTGGGAAATCCTATTATGGTAATTGAAAGGTGGAGCCTTGAAGAGGTGATTGGGTTGTTGGACCATGCAGTAGTGAATGGATTAAAAATAGTGGTCAAGGGTGTGGTTCTGAGGGCTTTAAAAGAAGAGGAAAGTCTGTCTTCCTCTCTCTGTCTGCTCTCTCTGCTTCCACCATCTTGCAATATGAGACCTCTGGGTCACTGTCATCACCACCAGATGGACTTTGGACTTCCCAGCCTCAGAAACTGTAAGCAATAAATGTTGTTTTTCTTTATAAAATCACCCAGTCTCAGGTATTCCATTATAGCAACACAAAACGGACTGATACACTGGTTGATAAAGCCAAATTAAACAAGATGTATAGTATTTAGTTCAGAATGTGGCACTTAATGAGCAGGTAATAAATACTAGCAATTGTTGCTTATAAATAATAGGATGATTAAGGGTAATAATAACTATATTTTTTATTGCTGCAAAGTTAAAACTTCCAATAGAAATCACCTTTGATCACTGATATTTACTTAAAAGACATAGATAATTTATTGCTTACATAAAGAAAAGTTCTGTATGTTGAAAAATTCTGCACAAAATATTTTTCTAGTAACAACATTTAAGACATCCTTTCCCCCAAAGGTTATTTTTTTTTTAATGAAAATGACCAGAGGTATAATTTAATAATATGCAAATGGATGATTGTATTTTAAAAGATAAGGAAAATAAAAGTCTCACAAGGGCAAGATGATGGTGTACTTTAAGGTGACTATTGCCTGTGATCATTCTTGGAAGAACGAAGCAAAAATACAAGAATATTAGATCCTGTGATGCAAAAGTGGATGCAATTGTGGAAACTACTAAGTTATTTACATAAGTGACAAGTATCAGGACGGTCCATACTATAGGGCCGAGCACTTGAAAGGAAGAGTCTACGAGAAGGGCCAGAGAGGAAGGACGCAGAAACACGGAGCTGGGCGAGGAGGCGGGAGACGCCGGTGGCAGCCGGGCTGCAGCTGCGGAAAGCTGGACAGGGGCCCCGGGCTCGGGCAGGACCCGCAGGGGGAGAGAAATCCTGTGGGAGAACTCAGGCTACACCCTAGCTGGCCTGATCCCTTCAAGGGAATCCGTTTCAGTCTGAGAACAGAGAGAAGAACATGCAATTGTAAGTGGAAAGTTTATTGATTATTTTGTCAAGTTTTGCAGAAATCCAGATTATTCTGTGAAAATCAAGAATAAGTAAATGGAAGAGTGTGACTTTTTACTAAGAGGCAAACTGAAACGAAAAACAGGAGTGGGGAAAAATCACCCAAGTTTTTAAACTTCCGAAAAATGTTTTAATCAAGGAGGACTGAATCCTGATAACGCCCAGTAAGAACCTAAATCACTGTCAAGAAGGACCTAAAGTTACACCAGGCATGAAAAAGCTTCCGAAAGGCAACCCCAGAGTGAAAAGAGCTTGGATAAGCAAAGCTTCCTGCAGGCGGAGGCGGGCACCTCCCTTTTTAAAAAGAGTTTTTGGAAGGTAAGACTGAAGTACTAGAGCTGTTCTAAGTTGAGAGAAATTCAAGAGCCCCTGGAAGAGCCTACATTGGTAAAGGCCTTTTCAATCGTCTAACATACTGTCTTCCTTCTGCTGTCTCCAGTTGAGATGGTACAGGTTTTAATTAATACTTCTCACCACAAAACTTCCAGTGTCTGCCAGAGGTGGTTACTTAACTGACACAAGTAAGGGTAAAATTTATGTTTATATATTTATGTCCATAGTTATACAAGTATTAGTGGCTCAAATTGCTCCTGACAGCAATAAATAAATGGTTCAACATCGAAATATTAATTCTGCTTCTAGCCTAGAATGATTCTTTTAAATGTTCATTATGTAAATTTTTTTCTAATTCTCAGATCTAAAGAAAATAGTTCTAACATATAAACACAATAGTTTATCCAATTCACATATGACAGGGAAAAGAGATTTGTATAATAACATTGCTGTTTAAAATAAATAAATAATCATACTTTGATATACATTTATCAGAATGAAATATAGTTTAAACAACAGGAAAACCAAGTTCAGAGGTAAGTATTAAGAAAGATGAAATGAAAAGCCATAAAAAGATCTCTTTGGAATGAATAGGTAATATTCTAAATAAAAATGTTGATATATTGGTATTTCTGTTTAGTGTGTGTCATAACAATTTTAAAATGATTTCCTTTTTTTGTCAAACCTTCTAATATATGGCACTGATCACAGTCCACTTATTACTTTTGCAGCCAATATTTTGAATGGAAAATACAGAAAATTATTTTGTTTATTATGTGTATGATAGTTTTGTTTGGATTGAAATAATGAAAATATTAAACTGAAAATATTCATTTAGCAAAATTCTTGATGCTTTAGAAATTGTCTAGATTAAAATGTGCTATTTTAATAAAGATAAATAACATTGCATTATTGGGTTTGAATTACAAATAGAAATAGCAAAAACAAAACAAAACATTTCCAGCTGACACAAAATTAATATAGCTCCATTCCACTACCAGAAATAGCATTAGTGCTAGGATCAGTAAAAATGCTTATATTAAATAAAATCAACTTTTACTATTAGATTTAGTTCATGGACTTAAACATTTACTATTGGATTTAGTTCATTTTTCTGCATGCCTCCCTGGTCTTAGTTGGTGATAGAAAAGGTAAAAGCACAAAATACTTTTTAAAACGAATGTTTTATATAGTAATATTCTTATCAGTGACAACACAATGTTATTACATATTGATCTCTTCTGAGTCATTTTCACAAAGTTGACTAGAGCTGATATTCACAAAACTTGGAGTTCTGCTTTTCATGCATATTTAACTGGGGCTCTGCTAAAATTTCATGAAATGTATGTATACCTGAGATGTATAAATGATTTTTACCCTACATAAATAAAATGCCCAACCCAAGAATCAAGATAAAGTCAAATTTCAATTATCTATGCAGAGATGTACATTTGTTAAGGGCATTAAAGTCCTTGGGTTAATGCCTCAATATTTATATAATTTCCTATCTTTTCAAAATTTCTCTTTTATATCAAAGATAATAAATTACAGGTGTGATACATGTTTAATAGTCAATAATATACAAAAATAAAAGCTCTTTAAAATGTAGTAATAAAAGTAAATGAACAAATATGGTCACTTTTAAAATAAACTATGTGCTAGAAATTTAAGTTTGTCCTACGCTTTATAAAATGGCTTTATAAAATGGAATTTACTGATTTATTTAATAAAAATGAAAACTAAACAAAGAAAAAGATAAATAGAATACCACTAATACTTCACTCGCTATCAGACCTTCTTAGTATAAAACTTGTACTTGCTGCTCTGTTCTCTGCAGGTTGGCATTTCCTACTCTGGTTGGTTGTAGGAATATATGTACACAGAAACATCATATTTGATATTTTAAATGAAACTAGATAAGCTCAATGAGCTATATTCAGTGCCAGGTAAGGTAAACTTCCCAAATCCTTTTCTAAAATTTCTGAATCAAAAGATAAAGAGTGGCCAGGTTTCTATGAGAACCAACTTACATCCCAGTCCAAATATTCAGTAGTTTGCTATAGCCATACTTGTCTAATTATTAATCAGCAAACATTAAAGTACACACAAGTTCACCCTTACAGCTCGGCCTTTGTAAGGATAGACTGAAAGGCAGCTACCTTTATGCTTAATCCAAATCCTCCTACTGTTTGTCTTCTGATGGTCACCGTTCTTTCCTGAAAGACAGGATTTTTAAGAGTGGTTAGCATTCCCTCATACGTACTGTACTTACACACCATTGTCTTCCTCTGGGTTTTGCTTTTGTTCTTTAAAGAAAAAGAAATACTTTGTGACAGCGAAGAGGCTCCAAATCTTGCAATAGATGAAGTGTTATATAATTTTTAAATCTAAGGTTTATTTGTCAAAATACAAGAGTCTATAGTGTTATTAAACTCCTAAACTCTTAAAAGTTAAGTTCTTTTCAACTATTTGTTAGACGTATTTTGGAAAATTAACTTTTACACCTTTTCTCATTTTCACTTTATGTGTTTTTGTTGTCTAAGAAATGACAAGTTTTTGCTGACATAAAAGTAACTCAATCCAATGGTAAATACTACCTTTGTCAGCCAAGGTGTTATCTCTAGCACCATCAAGTCATCTTGCTTGGGATTTGAGAGGTGTGTTTTTGTTGTCTAAGAAATGACAAGTTTTTGCTGACATAAAAGTAACTCAATTCAATGGTAAATACTAACTTTGTCAGCCAAGGTGTTATCTCTAGCACCATCAAGTCATCTTGCTTGGGATTTGAGAGGTGGGCTGGGAGGCTGCCATGCCCCAGCACCTAAACTTGAAACTGAATAAACCAAGTTCAAAACACTTAATTGCTCACTTAGAAAAAGAATGAATTACATGTGTAAGTAATAATGATAATGGCATTATGAATTCTCAAATCAGTTTCCCCGTGTACACAATAATTCAGTCACTGCCCTATGAAACTTAAAAATCACAAAGATGCTATAACCTATGGATCAAAAGTGATGAGAAACAGAATATTTGCAGTCTCGAAAGTGTCAGTACCAAAATACTTATTAATTACAAAAAGAAAACACAGCAACTTCCCAGGGGGAAAACAGGCAACATCACCAGAAATGGGACAAACACTAACACGTGCCTCTTGACAGGCTACATCATCACTTCAATGGTATTCCTATCAGAAAAGCTAACCATGAGGAAAAAATTAGACAAACCCAAACTGAAGAACATTTTGTAAAATAACTGGCTGATACTTGTCAAAACTGTCAAGATCATATCAGACAAAGAAAGACTGAGGAACAGTTCCAAACTAAAGAGACACAACTAAATGAAACATGTGATCCTGGATTGGATCTTGAACAAAGAAAATTTTCTTTCTTTTATGATAAAGAACATTATTGGGACAAATGGCAATATTTGAATAAAGTCTTTAGATTACTTGTAAAAAAAAAATCACAAAGATGACACTATGAGCACAAAAAGTCACATTTGGATAAATTCTGTAATTACAAATTTAATAAATCAGTATTACTCTGCTTTGAGGCAATCATCTCTACACAACGCATACTTTGGAGGCATACTGAAGGGCTGACAGCTTTATTTATAACCTGCTCCTTTTACATCAGTCTTCTTGAACCTTCCCGATGCATAACCATTTGGGACACCTGACCTTCTCCCCTGCACCTGGGATAGATATTTGGTATCTGGTCCCTGTGTCTCCATAAATGCCAGATTTATTTGGCTATATTATTCATTTCCAAGTGTAAATACTGTCTCTTTCTTATAGATGAAGTATTCCCTTACTCCCTTCTTTTATAGGGACTGTGTGGAACAGATAACATCATTTAAAAATAACAAAGAGAAAATAGTAAAAATGTGTGTTTCTGGTGGCTCTGGCTAAATATTTTTAAATAGCATAAAAACTCATTATTTTGGTAAGGTCACAAGCTTCTTTTTTTGGCCAAATATTTAGTTTTTGTGAATGAAACAAAATAATGCCTAAAGAATGAGATCAGCATACTAGAAATTGAGATAATATTAACTATTATCTGAGGAACAGTTCCAAACTAAAGAGACACAACTAAATGAAACATGTGATCCTGGATTGGATCTTGAACAAAGAAAATTTTCTTTCTTTTATGATAAAGAACATTATTGGGACAAATGGCAATATTTGAATAAAGTCTTTAGATTACTTGTAAAAAAAAAATCACAAAGATGACACTATGAGCACAAAAAGTCACATTTGGATAAATTCTGTAATTACAAATTTAATAAATCAGTATTACTCTGCTTTGAGGCAATCATCTCTACACAACGCATACTTTGGAGGCATACTGAAGGGCTGACAGCTTTATTTATAACCTGCTCCTTTTACATCAGTCTTCTTGAACCTTCCCGATGCATAACCATTTGGGACACCTGACCTTCTCCCCTGCACCTGGGATAGATATTTGGTATCTGGTCCCTGTGTCTCCATAAATGCCAGATTTATTTGGCTATATTATTCATTTCCAAGTGTAAATACTGTCTCTTTCTTATAGATGAAGTATTCCCTTACTCCCTTCTTTTATAGGGACTGTGTGGAACAGATAACATCATTTAAAAATAACAAAGAGAAAATAGTAAAAATGTGTGTTTCTGGTGGCTCTGGCTAAATATTTTTAAATAGCATAAAAACTCATTATTTTGGTAAGGTCACAAGCTTCTTTTTTTGGCCAAATATTTAGTTTTTGTGAATGAAACAAAATAATGCCTAAAGAATGAGATCAGCATACTAGAAATTGAGATAATATTAACTATTATGAATATATTTAGAATATTTAAAATAAGCCTTTTTGGTGGATATTGGTATATATTTATTTCTAAAAGCTAATGCAAATAATAGCATTTAATAATATACATTTTCTTCATTTTGTCAATGTGCTTCATAATTTCATCCATTTTAAAAATACTTATTCTGCTCTTATAACCTGTCACCAAATTATGTTTTCAAACCACATTAAAGTTATATTTACACAACTAAGTCTATATGTGTATTACAATTTATACAGAGCAACTTGAAATATAAAACATACTATCTATATTAAATAATATCATAAACTCCATCTTTTTAATTTGTAAGCTGAGTGTTACATACTCTCCATCTGTGCAACCAGAGGTATGGGTACATTCAGTGCTTCAGAATCTATGTTGCAAAGCCTATGAATATAAACACACCTGTACAAAACCAAAAAGAGAGATGAACATGAGTATTATATGTACACAAAATCTAATTAAAACATGAATTTATTGGAAATGTCCTTTTATTTAACAGGACAAGAGCAATGTATTAAATCAACTAATCTTTATTTCCCATTAAAGTACTTATCACAGGAAGGCTGAACATTGCAAACAATATTGGAATTAAAGTCAGAGAATTTATCAATGACTCAAATATTCACAACTTAGTATGTTTGGCAAATTACTTAAACCCTGTGAGCCTTTGTTTCCAAATCTGAAAAATGTGGATAAATAATACAGTAACAACTTCAGTTTTAGGATTAATATTTGTGAAGGACCCTGGTATATAATAGAAACAATATATATATTTTTTTAAGATGACTAGTAAGCGGATCTTAACCCTTGACTTGGTGTTGTCAGCACCACACTTTCCCAAATAAGCTAACCAGCCATCCCTATATAGGTATCTGAACCTGTGATCTTGGTGTTAATCAGCACCACACTCTCCCAAGCAAGTTTTTTAAGATGACTAGTAAGCGGATCTTAACCCTTGACTTGGTGTTGTCAGCACCACACTTTCCCAAATAAGCTAACCAGCCATTCCTATATAGGTATCTGAACCTGTGATCTTGGTGTTAATCAGCACCACACTCTCCCAAGCAAGCCACGTGCCAGCCCTGAAACAATGAATATGAACATACACACATACATAAAACACATACAAAATCTAATATTCTAGACAGGACTTCTTACCTAACAGTCATTTAAATATCTAATTTACATGTATCCACTTCACATTCAAATATCTACAATGCAGAGTAGTTCAGATACTGAAAGACTCAAACCCAGGGATAGGTGAATTAAATAGTGATCTTTATTCTTATAAAACACACAGGGAAACTACTGTTACAAAATTGCCCATCAGACTAAACTAAAGCTCTTGGATGATAGGAACCATTTTCTTAATTTCTTTCTGTAAGGAATAAACACTTGATTCCTTAAAATAATATCTAAATCAACAGGGCAGTTAGCTTAGACAACCCACATCAATTGTCTTAAAATAAAAATTTCAGTCAGAGCAAATGCATTTTAATTAGCAAATGCCATCACCTAAATTTCCTAGAACATCATGCACAGCAGTCATTAGCTATGAGGGCAAGTCAGTCAGTGATTTTTGCACAGCAGCTAACTGTGCACTGAAGTGCTGCATTCCTCTGACGGGAAGGTATGGGCACCAGGGTCGTCAGAGGTCTCTGATGCCTTTCCTCTTTCTCTGTAAGTCTGCCTTCCAGTCTTTGGTGGAGAATGTTTAGAACGTGTTCCAAATCAAATACAAAATTGCTAGTGCGGAAAGGAGTTTGGAGAGACTAAAGAGTCAGCAGAAACTGCTGAAAATCTCAGAAGCAGCACTTATTTTAATGTTTTTTAAACACCTGGGCACACACTCAATGCACAAGCAAACTCCAGCCAGCACCTCCATATGCTGTTGCTCTGTTAGCTTACTTTTAAGAAAGTTAAGAGAAATGGGCAAAACAAATTACTTGGTGTTTTAAAATCAAAATTTTAAATTGGTCACTGCAATGGTGGTCTGTGCTTGTGTTCGCTCTGCCACTCTCTTCTCTCTCCACCTCTCCACATTGGGTTCTTACCCCTCACCCCCAAAAAGACAAAAAAAAAAAAAAGAAATTGTTTCAGCTGCTCACCTCATAAATCAGACAATATCTGGAAGCCAATCTTGAAGTGTATTTAGTTAATACATCTTGAGTGTCCTAAAGGGTATTGCCTGGTAGCAAAGCACTGTCCTTTGGGAGACCAAGGTATTTTCGGTTATTTTATTTTTCAAAGTACAAAATACAGACTGGTGATCATATACACTCTGACATATATAAAATGCCTTTCTTTAATCTTCTTATTCCTTACAAAATGCAAAGGATTGAGCCCAAGAATAACAATATGGACTTTAGGAAGACTTGCTGCACAC